CCTCTCATGGCTCAATCTCAAGGACTCAGATCACAATCTTGCACAATTCAATCACCAAACACAGTAAAAACACGCCACAATCAATCGTATTCCACACAATCCTAATCCGAGAGCCTATGGTCACGCACTCACATTTGCAAACGGATTGAAACGAGGAAACAAGGCACTCCCGACACGACCCGAACAGAAGGGAATAACTCGCGACTCCCTTTACCAAATCAAGGTCTGAAACCTGATCTGGAAACTAGACACCAACGTCTCCTAACTCCAAACAAATTGACGGGAAAACAGCCCGCAATCTCGCTAATCGAAACTGGAAAAACAGAGATTTCAGAAATAACACCCTGAAATCAAATGAACACAGAGAACGGAGATTACCTCCAAATCAGGATCCGAAACCTAATACAAAAACTATACAGAGAGAGCTTTCCAACGGTATATGGATCGTCTCCTGATTCTCTATGGTTCGACGGAAATCCTCCCTCGAAGTGGACTGATCGCAGACTCGAGACTGCAGAAACCTCACACAATCCAACGGCCATAACTCAGCGAATACTCATCCAAAAGGCACGCGGTTTCCACCCACATCAATAGCAAAGATAGGAGAACTTACCCTCAAAGTTTCACTCTGATCCGATCTGATCTTCCCCGCCAATCATCTCCTCCAAAAACCCGAGCAGAACTGTTTCTCTCTCAAGAAAAACACTTCTCTCACAAAACTCTCTAAAACTCTTTCTCTGTTCAAATTTTCGGCCAACCCCAAGAGAAAACGCTTTTCTCTGCTTAAATACGGAACCCTAGGTTCCCTAAACCAACCCAAACCAAACCCGATCAGAAATCAAAACCACACGGTCCAATTTAAGCATGTGTCGCTTGACACAAACCTCTTGTGTCGCGCGACACAGCTCCAGCAAACAGATTCCTTTGCGAATTAAACACACGTGTCAATCGACACACAACCAAAAATCACAATTTTGGTTCACGGGCATTACAACAAACTTAATGTGACGGAAGTGTGACTTAGATCTGGAATAATAAGAGAGAAAATATGAATAAACAGTTAAAGACATGTGAGGAGACGGAGATTAGAAAGATGGCGGGTCAGATAAAGTTTACTGGCTCGAAAGAAGGATATATGAGGACGAGGAAGGGTCAGATCTGCAACAAACCATAAAGAAAACCATAAATAAGTGAGAAACAGATAAAGATGATATCTAAAGTACAGATTAGAGAGGAGGATGATTTACAAAAAATGAAGAACAAATACTTACTTTTTCAAGAATCGGCAACAACGGAGGAGAGGCAGCGGAGGTAAAAAGCATCGACCGCCGTTTA